GGTGTACTTACCTACATGCAGGCAATACACATATACACATAAAATAAAAATGATAAATAAAAATATTTTTAAAATAAATAAAAAATAAAAATAAAAAATTATTTAAAAATGCTTTTTATCACATGGCTGTTACAGCATTTTCATTTTTAAAAATTACATTTATTCATTTGTATATGTGTGTATATGTGTGGGCGAAGACACATATGTAGAGGTCAGAGGATGACTTTTAGACAACCATATGGGGCTTGGGGATGGAACTTGGATCCTGAGGCTTGGCAGCAAGTGTCTTTACCTGCTGAACCATCCCTGGCCCACACTACAGTATTTTCACTGGAAGGGTGTATTAAGTGGTATTTATGGGAAAAGAATGATTTTTTTTGTACATGTATGTTTGTGTGGTGGTGTGAATGTATGCATGTGCATGCATGTGTGTACATGCGGGTATAAAAGCCAGAGATCGATGTCATGTGTCTTTCTCAATGGTTTTTCACTTTATTTACTGAGGCAAGATTTCTTGCCGAACCCAGGGCTCATGGATTCGGTTAGTCTAACTAGCTAGTTTGCCAGGAGAATCCCCTGTCTCTGCCTCCTGAGCACTGGGATTACAGGTGTGTACCATGTCATTATGTCAGTTCTGGGGATCCAAATTCTGTCCTGTTGCTTGCATAGTAAGTGAGCCTCCTGACATGGGTGTTATTCATTGAGTCATCTCCCTAGGACCAAGACTGATATTATTGGTATGAAATAGGTGGTATTAGTATACTTGAGACAAATGCTTGAAACTGATTCCATAAAAGGAGTACAATACATTTCCACAGAGAGCAAGTTAGAAGTCATAAGGGAACAAAACGGCTTTGAAAATCCTTCTGCAATTCCCATACCCATCAAGGGTATATACAGGCACAACTTACTTTGGAAATGGATTTCTACTTCAGGAAGAAAGTGAAGGATGATTTCCCTAAGCATTGTTATTCTTTTTTTCACCCTGTTAAAAATGTCTAAAATTGTTGCTGTGATGAAGCAATGTGGTGCGTCTACTGCTGAAATGAAATTGAATACGCACTGAGCTTCTCAGTATAATGATACTCTCCAAGCTTGGAGACCTATTGAGCAGCAATTGCATTACTTAGGTGTGGTGGCTCACATCTGCAATCCCAGCAGTCTAGAGGCTGAGGTAGGAGGATTACACTGAGTCTGAGGCCTGCTTGGGCTGCTAGTGAGTTCCAGGCCAACCTGGACTACAGAGAGCTTGTCTCAAGGACACCAAAAACCAGGGTGGAGAATATAGCTCAGTGTAGGGTGCCTGTCTAGCATGCTTAGGGCTCTGGGTTTCATCTGTAGCACTGAAAAAAACAAATCAAAACAAAACCACACACAAAACCCCCAAATATCATGGCTGCTAGTAAGATGGCTCAGAAGGTAAAAGACTGATGACTTGAGTTTGATGTAAAGGGTAGAAGGAGAGAACTGACACAAAGTTTTCCTCATATCTCCACATGCATACCTCCACCTCCGCCCCCCCACCCCCCATAAAATAAATAAAAGCAAATAGCAGATGGCTCAGAGGTTCAGAGCACTGGCAGCTTGTGCAGAGGACCTGGGTTTGGTTCCCAGCACCTACATGGCAGCTAACAACAGTCCATAACTCCAGTTCCAGGGGATCCAACGCCCTCTTCTGACCTCTGCAGGCATTGCATGACACAGGTGCATTTATATACATCCAGGCAAAACACTCATACACATAAAATAAAAATAAATTAAAAAAAGCAAATAGCAAAGTTCTACTGTAGACTGACCTCCTTAGCCACCTCAGGTGTGGGGTGCAGTGATCTGTGTTTAGTAAGTTCTCCAGGTGATTCTGTTGCATGCTGAAGTTCCAGAACCAATGGATTAGTAGTTTCCAAACTTGGCATGGGTCAAAGTGCCCTGCAGAACCTTTACAAATATGCCTTGGCCTGACTGCAGGAAATTCTGATTCAGTAGGCCTGAGATGGGGTTAAGAACTTATATTTTCAATGCCAGATGACTTCAGGAGACATTAGTTTAAAAGCCTCATTATTTAAATCCAATCAAACTTAATGAGTCCTTTTCCCTCTTTTCTCCCTTCCTCTATTCCTTTTTTCTTTTTGGTTTTGTTTTGAGACAGCATTTCATGTAGCCCAGAATGGCCTCAAACTCACTATATGACCAAGAATGACCCTGAACTTCTGATCCTCCTGTTTTTACTTTGCAAGGGCTGAGATTATAGGTATGTCCCACTATGCTGAATTTTATGCCTGCTGGGGATTAAACCCAGGGCTTTGTGCATGCTGGGCAAGCACTCTACCAACCAAGCTACATCCCTAGTCTTTTTTCTTTTCTTTTTCCTAGAAGTTCTCTTCCACTCTTTAATTATTGTTTTTTCCATCTCAGTACAGGCCTATTACAGTGCCTGGTACATAGATGGAGGTAAAAAAACAAAACAAAACTGGATGGATGAATGAATCTCATAGCAATATTTTGTTATGTAGAGAATGGCCTTATCTTCATGGTCAAAGCTATTGAAATGTTTTTACATTTACAATTTTTAAATTATTTTTGTTTTATGTGTATGCGTGTATTGCCTGCATGTAGATAAGTGCAACAGTGTTGCACAATGCACTCGGAGGACAGAAGAGGCCGTAAGATTCTCTGGAACTGGAGTTTCGGACAGTTAACTGCCATGTGGCTGCTGGGATTCGAACCCAGGTCTTCTGCAAGAACAGTCAGTGTTCTTAACCGCTGAGCCATCTCTTCAGCCCCACATACCCAGCTTTAAAAAGATGATTACTGAGGCTGAGGATGTTATTTAGTGGTAGCATGCTTGCCTATCATGTGTAAGGCCCTAGGTTTGATTCCTAGCATCAGACATGCACACACGTTACCAACAGATTAAACGGTTTTAAAGCATTATTTATATGGAAGCTTATACAGAATCTTCTGAATATTATGCCTATAATCCACTTTCCTGGCCTGCCACATACTTGAAGGCAATGCTTCCAATTTCACAACAGGCAGTCTGCCCCACACCCTAGCCAGGCTCCCCATCACTTTCTGAAATCTTCCATTTCCTAATCTAATGCTACAAATTATGTTAGTGGGTGGTTGTGAACAAAGTATGTGCCATAAGAATAAGGTAAATGTGTATATGTGCATCAGCTTGCTAAGTTATCACAATTCAGTCTCTTAAATAGTGATATGGGTACTGTGCTATTGCTACAGTAACTGTTGGGTGGGGACTGATTCCTGTGTCTTCAGATCTTGTGTAGCACAAAGAAGTGTTTACCTTTGCAAATAGTAAGCTTTCTTTTTGTTTTGTGTCGTTGTTGTTGCTCAGTTTCTAGCACTGTCCCTTGTATTTTTAGTCTGACTTGTAGAACTTTATATGACTTGGGGATCCCTTCAGTTTGTAGGAGTGTATCCAGACCCATGAAATGCTCCTGGAGGTAATTTCATGTGGAGAATGAAGTGATTAAATGATAAATTGAAGCAACGATTTGCAACGTTTAGGATGAAAATCTATCAGGCTTCAAAGAATAAACTGCATTGTTAGTTATAAGAGCCTTAAGCAAAACTAAGAAGCACACACACAAATCCAACAGGCACTTATCGTTAGTTTTCCTTGCGCCACTTTTGTATACACATACAGCTTTTATTCTGCTTTTAAACCCTGCATTATACATAAACTCTTCCATGTCACACAATCATCGTAATTGCCATTTAAACTTTAAGGCTGCATAAAAATTCGATTCACTATTACACCGTTCCTTACCCCCTGCTTGTTACTAAACCTTTGCAAAAATAAAATTTGCATTACTTATTTGTCGAGAATAAATTCCTATCAGTGCAATTACAGCGTCAAAGTCACATTTATTTTCCTCCCCTGATAGTGAAATACAGTACTGCACGAGAAGCTATTCCCACAGTGCCCTCCAAGGTTTATCACAGTCCTTTCGATCTTCTCCCTACCTTTGCTCTGCTGCTGGAAAAAGAGCCCGAGCAGGTAGGTAACCCGATCTCCTTCACCAGGTGAGTCTTTGGAAGTGGCAACTACAATACCCAGAGCTAAGCCCTCCTGGGGATTTGCTGCAACGCTTGGAGAGGGAATAGCGTCCCTTGGAAGCCTTGCAAAAGAGACGCTTAATTCCCCAGACTCGGTGGGTCTAACTTTGCTCTCCCGAGCCTCTAAGAGCACGCAGTGGGAGTCTAATAAAGGCATTCTGCTCCGTACGGACACGTGTATGGACATCCAAGCCCCTCCGGGTGCCTCCGAGCGCAAACCGCCGGCTCCTGAAATTTGGAAAAGGGCCTGGGCCTCCCGGCCCGCGCCTCGACAAAGCCCCGCCTTCCACCCCCGGTCCAAGCGTCCGGAGGCCCCCGCCTCCCGGACACGCCCCGCCGCCCCGTCCCCGCCCCAGACCCCGCCTCCTGTCTCCTCCCCGCCCCCGGGAGCCGACGAGTAGCGGCGGCGGCCCCAGGACCCCGCTCCCTCAGACGAGAGGGCGGGTGGAGAAAGAAGCGGG